AATTGATTAAATGTATTTTGCACAATCCGCAAAACACGCAATCTCGCTTTGAGATAGTTATTTTGGATTCATGGCATTGTCAACTGATCAAACTAGTTGTTTAAAATTGTACGTACGGTGAATTAGTTGTGACTTACAACACTTGGTGCAATACCCATAAAGAGGAGGATTAATCTGCATAAAGGAAGCACGTGTCACTGGAACTTACTTCTAGGCGAGGATTAAGAATAATATACGTGCAACTTTATTAACTGACGAGGTAAAATATTGACTATTTAAAGTTACTCTATGTTACTTTGTAAAACTTCATCATACACATCATCCTAGAAACGCTGATCAAATTGTGCTTTCATTTCGTCGACGAAATCAACACGTATTTTACTGGTGGTCGCCATTTTGAAACTACTCAAAATCCTCTTCTTTACGCGATATTATGGGAACGATTTTGTTTACCAATTAAACAGTTAAAAAAAATAGAAACATATTATGAACAAGCAAAGCAGTATCTAGCACATTATGCAAAAATAATAATTGTACAAAATTCATACAGATTGAATGTATTTGGTTCGATAATGTAATTTTATGTGTTGCTGATGTTGAAATAATTCACACAATTCATTTCCAAAATCATTATATTATACTAACGTAAGATCGAGTAATTAGGGAAAATTTATTGTAACTAACGTATGCAAAAAAATTAAATAATATTTCATTTATGTAAAAATACGAAGATTAATTAGAAAATAAGCAAAAACAGAACGTAGTTGAGAAACTGATATTTAATCCACTAATATTTTATTTTTATAAAAGTCCGTATTCCTCTTTTCTAATTAATTGCTCCCCAGTGGCACAGCGGTATGTCTGCGGACTTACAACGATGAAAACCGTGTTTCGATACCCGTGGTGGGCATAGCACAGATAGCCCATCGTGTAGCATTGTGCTGTAGCCACAGCTGAAAGGGCGAAAATGTTCGGCAGTGGGGATTTGAACTGGTGACCCACAAATTGCGAGTCGAGCGTCCTAATCACGAGACCAACTTTATATCCATGAGCTTTACAATCTTATCTATTCTTCAGAAACACAAACTTGCACTTAAAAAAAGTCAGTAAAAACAGCAACCAGTACACACGTATATATATATATATATATATATATATATACACATAAGCTTTTTAAATTTGTTATCAAAAAATGTTTTATATTTCCTTTTCACCCCAAGACTAATCTTTTTTTAATATACTTTTACTTAACGGTGAAAATATCACCATTATATACTGTTTACATTGTAAATCTTATCCCCGAAGAATACACTTGTTTAATTTTATACCGATCCAGGAATGGGTAAAATTCAACTAGAACTCCAGCAGAAAGATCGAAAAATCGAGAGAAAGTTCTTTTAACAGAAATAACCGCATCTCTTTGACTGAGAAATGAGTTGTTAAATCAAATGTAGGTTAGTGGTAAATTTAAGTTTCGGTGATAGACAGAGTCTAAAGCTCGTTTAAAATCAAAAAGTAACATATATGAAGCCTCATTAGTGCTAAAATTATTGTAGAAAGAGTCCGATAACTTGAAAAATTGATCCTTAGTTGGTATCTGAAGATGAAACACAGCCTTAGTAAAAGGCAAGAGTTGATGAACAGCGGTAAATCTATGGAATCAATAAACTAAAATGCATTCAAAAGTTTTACTGGGGACACTAGTAAGACTGATAGGACGATAAAAACTAACATTTCTTGGCTTATTAGGTTTTTAGAAATAGGAAAATAATAAAATTCCTTCAGTAATCGTGGTAAAATCCAGAATGAAGGAGGAGAGTATAAAATGTTGCAAGCAGAAAAAGGAACTTAACTGAAGCATGCTTTAGATGACAATATGTAATCCTAACTGGGCCAGCGGAGTGTTGTATCTAACCACCAGGAGCATTAGTAAATCCTGAATTGTGACAGGTACATTCACATGAACTATAATCCAGAGCATGTGCTGCAGTGGATTAAATCCAGGAAGAAAATGATTAGTCAATTCAATAATATATGTTCTATCTTCAAAGTCGAGAAAATTCTGTTCTAGGGCTGTAAACTTATTTTCGTGGAATGAGCCAGAAATATCAACAATATTAGCCTTTGCAAGTAAGGAAGGAGGTGCAGTACCATTAAAGAGAATCGCAGAACTAGAGGAACATCTTTGTCCAATCACGACTTGAACTCTTCTAGTATTTGGAGAAAATTTGAAGGATGTCAAAGTTGGTTCCAAATCTGGTGCCATCACAGTTGTTTTTACTGCTAATACAAAATTACAAGCAGGCTGTTGAAGATCTCTGACACAATAAAAGAGATGGGTCATGAGAACAACGATAGTGGGGAATTAATGACGAAGAGTTTGTTTGTTTGTTTGTTTTTAATTAAGCACAAAGCTACACAATAGGCTATCTGTGCTCTGCCCACCACGGGTATCGAAACCCGGATTCTAGCGTTGTAAGTCCACAGACATACCGCTGTGCCACTGGGGGGCATGACGAAGAGAGTTGCAAAATTTCGACTGCTTGGCAAGGTAAAGCTGGTTTATGTGGTGTGAAGTGAGAAGCTAGGATATGTAAGGAAATGGCGTAGGTACAAACATTTGTAAGGACAGTTGTCGATGAATTAACATTATCAGTAGAGATATCAACATTTGAGATAGCTCTTTCAACATGAACGCCGTAAGAAGACCAATTGGTACCAGGGTAGCTTAAAAAACATATATTTGTGTCGGGATGATCAGATGATCAAAGGATATCCTGGTTGGTAATTGAACCTGAATGGGAGGTGATCACTACCTACTAGATCACACAAGTCGAGGGAGAGAAGATAAGCTAGAGTTGCTGAAACAATCTCTGGTGAAGAGATTGATTCCAGAGGGCTTGGCAAAGGAAGATACAATACAGATCTAGTAATTTTAAAGTAGATTAAAACTGGGGGAAGCTCTGATATGATAGTTAATATCCGTCAAAATAATACATCTTTTAAAATATCTATCCAGGTAGTAAACGGAGTTATGAGGTATGGGAACCCCAGAATGAGCATATATATAGTAACAAGTGTAACAATTCTGGAACGAACGTATATGGTAAGAATCAAATGTTTTGGGAAACACTTCTAGGGAATATAATGAATCCAGATGAATACCAGTACACATTGCTACCCACCTCTACTCATACCAAAAGGGTGGTCCCAGCGATGGAAATTGTAGTCAAATAATTTTACTTTTAGTGTTAGTTGGAGGAAACTTGCTGAGGACAATGTAATCATAAGCTTTCTCATCTATTAAAGTTTCCAAAAAAGGCTTGTTTATAAGGAAGGAACGGATATTTCCACAGAAACATTTTAACAGGCAGCCTTGATGACACTTGCCCTTTGGGATTCCGTAAGTAATGGAAAGAAAAGTAATTGTTAAGTCCAGATGATGGGCCTGCATATTGACTTTAAAGACAGACATCGCTGCATGGTTGATTGTTTGGGACAAATGCTCTTTGAAATGGTTGGACATTTTATAGAGTAAAAGTAATAAATCGAAGAACGTTTTGTATGATTGAGAATTGAAAATAGGAGTTGGAAGGTGGTGTAACTTGATCAGTAGTGCCAACAGGAGCCACAGGAACTGGATCATCAGGTTTTGGAGGTAGTTTTCCTTGTCACTTGTAGGAATATGTGGTACGGTCTGGTTGAAAGGTATTGCAAATGGGAGGAGAGACCAATTTGGTACACTGTCTGACGTGATGAAACCTAGACAATAAGAGCAGACTGGCTTATTATGACACTTCACTGTTGGATTAGAGTTGTGACACAGATTTATTACAGACAGTAGATAATAGTGTAGGATGATCTGATTCCAGTAGAGAAATCGATAAGTAGGAGTAGTGGATGGCATAAATTTCTTGGAATCAATGTCAGGCAGGAATAGAGCTTAATGGTGTGGAAGAGGAAACAACTCTCTATCCTCAGCCCTACCTTGGTAATCATATCACAGCAGAATGCACCAAAGACAAATATAGATAGAAACACTCCATACCTAGCAGTCCAGACGATGTCATAAACTAGAGAAACTATTTGTAACAAGAACAAGACAAACATTTAATTCACTAACAGGATAACAACACTCAGTCACTAAAGTCTAACAATCAAACGAAAAAAACATGAGTGGTAGAGACGATATTTATGTTGTTGTAGCGTAGTTTTTCTTTGGCGAGTTCCTTTATATTATCTAATAAAAATAATTAAATATCTGTACCACGTAACGATAATAAATTACTGTATTTCCTCCTTTAACTTTTCTACAAACTTGAATACTTGTACACTTCCATAACTTGCTGTAGTCATATATTTATAAATTACGTTAACTAATGTAAAATATACCACCTTAACGACAGTCAACACACTGACTGATTCACTTTCTATCTTAAAATAACTCTCCAAATTTCACAACTATTTCGTATTTTTAATCTAATTTCGAATGTGCAAGAGCACTTTTCGTCACATCTTTAGAGTTTTCTAGATGTTCTAGGCTTATGTCGTTAAATCTTATAATCATAAGGCCATTATTAAGACCGCAGCTTCCTCTAGCTAACATTTATTAAAGTGCCCCCCAGTGGCACAGCGGTAAGTCTGCGGACTTACAACGCTAGAAACCAGGTTTCGATACCCATGATGGGCAGAGCATTGTGTAGCTTTGTGCTTAACTACAAATAAACAAACAACATAGAAAATATAGCTTATAACAACATTTTCAAGTTGCGTGAATAATAACTATCGTGGTGTGAACTACGGTAATTAAGATAGTGAAGTGTAATTTTTATTAATTTTATATAAGCTGTTTACAAATAAGAATTGGGATAAGAATTAACAACATAATATCATCTAACGCCAATTATTCATTTTTACTTGAATTAAATTTACTCAGACGAACTGGCGAACCAGAAAGCTAGTCTTATTGAAAATGTATAAGTTAGTTGTAATAACGAATACTAGGGTGTGTAAGAAAGTCTGTAGTTTCCTTGGACGTTAATAATACTGCAACTTGCAAGAAAGATTTAAAGTTAGGTAAAAATAATTATTTTACTTTAATAACTGTAGTTTGAACCTTTATGTAGGCTTTGTGTGTATTTTCTTAAATGTCATATACAGAATTTCGTTCTGAATCAAATATGTGTGCTAATTTGTTTATACGTTGCAAAATTATACCTCAGTTTATAACACTAGCAGGGTACTTCAAATACTTGACACAGTGATATTGACGGTTGATTCTACTACTATTAGGTTTGATGTAGTAGGAGTGTAGCACTTACCAGTTACAATCATTGAATCAATCTACATTTTCGAACATACGATATTACTATCACCAGAATGTACTAACTTATCTATTACCACTACTATAACTTACAAATACGACTGATAGTAGTAAGTAGGCTTAGTATTATTGCTAACGTTATTTATCGTGTGATATATTGTGACTTGTCCCTGCTCTGCAGCAGCATCTGTTGGAACTACGTACAATTACTAGTATTACTATGCCTAACCAATAACCTACAAGTTGGGTTAACTTAGTAACTAATCAGTAGACTAGATTGGAAATGGAAATAAACTTAATTGTCTATATTAGCTGTCAACTTAATGAAGTTAATGCTAACACTGTTAGTAACAGTAATACTACACCTGTATAGGCATAACCTTACCTAGTCAACAAAATGTAGTTACTTTGTGAATGAACAATGGTATTATTCATCAAAATACTAGCTATTAAATGTTCCGCAAGTTTGTTAACTGTTCGAAAATGTGTGAACTGTCCAAGTGATGACAACAAATGACTTGGGCTTTCAATAAGTTGATTACAATTTACATAGATGAATGCAGTGTAAAAGTTGTGATAATTGTAGCAGAAGAAATAATTTAATAATCTAAGTATATCTTTTGAAAGTAATGATTGATGAATGAAAAATGTTTATTAAACGTGAAGGTGTAATAAACATCAAAGAAGTTGTTTTATATGCACAAACTGTCATCAGCATTAAAATTTAAAGGACATGCCACACATTTTCTAATAAACTGATCAACATTATTCCCAAGCAGTAAATATCAAACACTTCTACTTAGACTGTGAGATAGCCACACTACAATCTAATTTAGTAATTGTTAGACTAAACCTAACTCAAATTCCAGTCCTTGGGTCTGCTTTACACATACTTGCATCTATTTACTTATTTTCAGATCCTTATCTTAAATTCTAAGTTCTCGGTACTGTTTGTAATATTTTGAATGAGCTGAATGTATGAATTCTAAACAGTAATGAATAATTGTTACCTAATCATATAAAAGGATTTTTTTTGTAGTAGCATTTAACAAATGCATATATTTGAAACACTGGAAACAGTTCACACTGATTTTAGTTAATTTATGTTAGTAGATTCATAGCTGAACAATTGTAAACTTAATTGTGTATAACTAAGTGGAAAAAAAAAGGAAGCAAATCTCAGTTCCTGAATTTTGAGGTAAAACGTAGCCATACAAATGTATAGTTTTGATAAATAAATCTCCTTACGTTTGTTTCTTTTGCAAGAATCAACAGGTAGTCCTTCAAAACTTTTTTTTTTTGCATTAATATTGTATGATATTGAGTGATCATTTCTTGTGTGAGGGGGATATCTTTGTGCTCTCTTTCTCTACATTGCCTTTTTTCTGTGTGCATGGATTTGCTTCAAACAATTTATTTCAAAGCATTTTTTTTTTGTTTGGTAGGTAAGCAGTAATGTGTTATTTCTTCTGTTGTGGATTTATTTTTACTAACATGTTTATTCATACTTTTATTAACAGTGTTGGTTAGAATGTATAATATATCACATTTTAATTAATTTTTAGTTTTGGTTTTCATTATACTTGAATCCGAGATTATTTTGTAATGTTAGTTAAATGTGTTTAGGGCTAGCCCAAATCTCTTAAGCTGGCCAAGCCTTGTAGGACATTATTGGGATTACAGCCAAAGATATTAACAATGAGGGTATCCAACTAATGAAAGAATGCATTCTAATTTTTATAATGATTACTTGGATAGTTGTAATAATTAAAAAATGTTAAAAGTCAGGAACACTAATTTCAATCACTTAATTATTTTTGTGACAATTGGATTTAATCATAGTTTTGATTAATTGATAGTTGGAATTATTGAAGACCGTAATAATCAGAAACACTGCTTTTGATCAATTGATTAAATTGCCTATATACACTTATGAGAATGTGTATTGTAGTTCAGATAATAAGTAATAGTAACAAGTACTTTGTGTAAACAAACAATATTTGTAATATATGAATTCAAATGATTTAGGTTTGCATAATCACATCAATACAATAAAAAGTGAGTACAAAAATTTATGTGTGGTGATTGATGAGTACACAGTGAACATTTAACACTGTTCACTTAATAGTTAGCTTCAAACAAAATATAAAATTATTACTAACATCACCTGACACCAAGGAAGCTAATAATATCGATTTGATTTTCTTAGGTGTAGGCATTGGAAAAATTACAATCATGGACCCTGCACTTCTGAAAGAAAGAGAAGCTTTCAAGAAGAGAGCCATTGCTACTCCTGTTGTGGAGAACAAGAAGAGAGAGGTGCCATCCTCAGGCTCACAACCACCTTCAAAGAAAAAGTCAAAACAGTCTTCTAGTTCTAAGCCTAAAAGTTTGTATATTTGTCAATAAATTTTAGTGAAGTCAATTAAAAAACTTCTTTACCAAAATCATCTATACAAAATATTTTTATTCAGAAAATACTCTAGTGTTATAACAATGCATAAGAATGTTAAAAACAAACATTATTTAATAAAAGTGTGTATGTATAAATGGGTATCCATTTTTAACTGGTGAACTATGGACTGCTTGTTGCTAAATCTAGCAATCTGGCATATACTCATAGGGTACCCTGTCGGGCATCATTTGGATCTGACCCACCTATGTATTGAACAGGTAGATTAGGTGTGATGAATGTCTTTTTCACGTAGTTCAACTAAAAAAATTGAATGTGGATGAAGACACAACAAAAGTGTTGATATTTCGTTAGTAGTATCTTTTGTTTTTATACTTATATTCTGCTTCAGATATTGTTTTTTTTTCCAACCACATATAAATGATTCAGAAGTTCATTGATAAGCAAATCATTTGGAAATGGAAAGGTATAGGAAAGTAATTGCTAGTGGAATGAAATTAGGTGTTGAAAGCTTAACTGTGACATTATCAGTGAGGTCTCTTAAGATCAGTGTAGCAGCCATGCCTTTTGAAACTTTTATTGATTTGAATCCTAAATCAAAATTGTCAAGCTGTAGACAATAACAAATGAAGCACTAAACCAAAACTCACCAAAATCTTTCCACAACAACAGTTATAGGCATAAATGCTGATGAGGTAAATTTCCTAACAATATCACTAAATGGTGAAAAACAGTTAATAGCTGTGTTCAAAGTGTCTGCATAGTGTCTATGCTTAAATGAGTCTGTAGTAAAAAACAGCTGAAAAGTTCATTTAGAGCTGGGCAATTTAATTGATGAATCAATACAATCAATTACCTATGAGTAGTGATTAGCCCAATTATTGTCACATGAACTAACCAAAATGAGTTATTCCAATTTTTACAATTATTGATAATTTCAACAATCTATTAATTGAAATTATGATTAAATAGTTATGAAAATAATCAAGTAATCAAAACTGAGGTTTCAAATTATTTCTTTTTGATTATGCTAACTGTCCAAGTAGTCAGAATATTGCCATTATGTTTGTTTAGTGTAAGCACAAAGCTACATAATGGAGGAGGTTATCTTGTGACTCAAGGGTCTTGGATTCAATTCCCATTGTTACTGAACTTACTTGCTTTGCCCTGTCTTTATTATTGCAAAGCTACTAAGTCTATTTGCCACTGTCACTAATTTTGAACTGCCGTCTAGGGGGAATGCAACTCTCTGGCTACTGTCGTTTTGTTATAGTTTTTTTGTTTTTAACATTGTGTTGTGTTTCTAATTTATAATTGTATTCTTTAATGTTGTGTAAGCAGGCATGGACATGGAGGGTCTGTATCTCTCCATCTTTTCACAAATTAACAACTGTATTGTTTAATGTCATATAAGCAGATGTGGATCTGAGGGGTCAGGGAACAGGACCCTTTGCCCATTTTTTCAAAAATTAATAACAAGTAAGATTGTAAAAATAGATGCAGATCAGGGGAGGTCCCAACCCTCCCCTACATTTTTTTTCAGAAATGAATATAAAAAACAGATAGATGTCATTTACACTACCCTATAGTATCAAAAAAGAAACATTAGATGTCTGTGTTTTCATTTGATTGGGCTGTTAATTACCATAAAAACAATTCAGTTGAGGACTCAGCCAAACACTAATTATTTCTAAGCTAATACAACAATATGAATGTCAATTAAATGTTGCTATGTATAGTTTGCATCATGACTTATTTCATACACTGGCAATGTGCCTAGACTTTACAGACTTGTTTTCTTCAAAATTAGTATTGTTGAGGACATTTGCAGCTCCTATAACATAGAATTGTTACAGAAACGATTTTTAATTGTTTAAAGTTAGAATTTTCATGAGAAAGATGTTTTTATATTGTTATTTAATTCTTATTCATTCCCTAATAGTTTTCAAACACTGTAAGTTTTATTTTACAAAATAGATTAGTTTGGATAAATATGTGATTGCCTATTAAGTAGAATGAGTTATGATTTTTAATTTCTCTTGGTTGACAACAAAATGTTTGCATAACTGCACAGTTGTATACATATATTAGGACCCAACATTGTAGAAAACATGCTTATAAACATGTAAAATAATACTGAATTACCTGAAATAACAAGTCTGGAATAGTATACACAATATTGTTATGGTGTGTATGGTTTTTACAAGCTGGCAAGCCATGCTTACAATTATATTTCTAGGAAGCCATTAGTATTAGGCCTATTGCATTATTAAACGCTACATCCTATGGGATTTTCAATAGTTAGAAGAATCTATAATAGTATTCCAACCACGCTATATTTGTCATATTCATTGCAGATGATGCATTTTGCTCACTCCAGTGCTCTTCAGACCACTAGGATACAACAAACTTGGTAATGGGTGGCAGTGTTCACTCTGAGCTGCATGGCCACACAACAACCAATCAAGTGCCCCACATTTCATTATTTCATTATTCCAGCAGTGCACATCCTCAGTAATGGTGAGGAGTCTCAACATGTTTATGGCCTTAATGACCCTGGAAGCTGATAGGCCTAAAGCCCAAATAACCAACTGGTAGCATTGCATAGTGGCCTAATGATCCATTAGGGTCAATGGTTTAAAAATCCCCCCCAAAAAACTAGTACCGCACATTGCCTTTTTTTTGCCTGTAAACAAAGCAAGCTATTTTTTTATGGTGGGGGGGGGTTCTGCCCATCCAAAAGAATAACCTTATTTTTGTTAATAATCTATTGCCCCTATATTGTCCTTTTATTGATTTTCAAGCATTGCCCTTAGTTTTTGTACAGGACTTTGTTGAAACCTTGTTATACTGCCACATTAAGTAATTTGGTCATTTACCAACATTTAACAACTGTAAAGAAAGTAATAGAGTAAATATATAGGTTTAATAATTTTTTATGGTTTCTGTACAATTTTTTTTGTTACATGTGAATACTAAATTGATGAAAATAGGAATGAGAATTCTTATTTTTCTCTTCAAATCTTCTTTACAAATTTCTATCTTCAAATTTTACACTTCTCATTATCAAACTCGTTTTCCATAGGCTGGTCCACTTTTTTATAATCATCAAAATTCATCACACAAAAAAAACAATATTAACCTTTCCCAGCAACACAGTTTTATTGAAAATTATATTATATTGAAAATCGTGTAATAATCAAAAAAGTTCGTAATACAAACTCGTCTGTTGACTCATTACCAATTTATCCACCTGTTTACTTCCTACTGCCAAGTACGTTTTCAATTCACTTATTAACTTCTAATTTCATAAGAGTCAAACCTATTGATTAAGGTTCTGTGTCACTTAATCAAATGGAATACCTGCTTTAGAAAAAACAATATATATATATATATACTATAAAATCAGTATGTTGATGAGGAAAGGAAACATTTCTTCAATATTGTTTATTAAATAAAAACTTACAGAATGCTTTTCCAAATGTTGACAGAAACATATTCTAAAACCTTGCTAACAGCTAAGTAAAACTAAATTATCTTTAGAATTGTGCATGTTAGTTTGCTTGCCTGTCTGTCCCAGTCTTGTGGACAGAATATCACCAAATAAGATGGATGGATTTTGGTTGAATTTATACAGCAGGTACTATGTACAAAGTTCTAGACTTGAGTAGCTTTTCAAGGTCATGAGTTAAAGGTCAAGAAGTTACTGGTACATAAAGAATCTTCTTAAACCCTGTGTGTGTAATATTTCATTAAAGAATGAATGGATATTGGCCAAACTTATAGCATAGGTACAACACAAAGTTCTAGACTTCAGTAGCTTTTCAAGGTCATGAGTCAAATGTCAAGAAGTCACTGGTACATAAAGAATCTTCTCCAACCCTTTGGGTGTGATATTTCAATAAAGAATGAATGGATATTGGCCAAACTTATAGAATAGGTACAACACAAAGTTCTAGATTGATTAAATTTTAATGTTCATGGGTCAAAGGTCAATAGAAAATCTGCCCCAATTTTGTGGACAGGTGCTACATCAGCAAATTGGGGGGGAGCTTAGCATATAATGTTACATTAAAGGAAACATTATTGTTTCATAAACACAATTTGCTCTTGTTCTTTTAAGTTTTATCCATTTCTCCTTCTTTTGAAAAATAAATCATGTTAATAGTTTTCCAATTATTGGAAATTTTTAGATTGTCAAGGAATTTTTGAATGGTAGCAGGTTAAGTACCTATTATTATTATTTAAGTAATTTTCTTTGAAATTTTAGATTAAATCAGACCAGGTCCAGCAGTTTTATCCTATAACATCATCTTAAGATTTTTCGAAACAGATTTTGTTTGGTTGTCAAAAATAAAAGTTTCATAAGAAGATACCCTGTCCATTTTTAAATAAATTTATATGACAGTTTAAATGTCTTTTTTTTTTCATAAAAATTATTATAAAAATAAATAGCTATTTAACACTTTAGTTGTTTCTTTCTTTCATTCTAAAGATTCCTTTCAAACCTCTTAAATGACCATAATTTTTTTAGATCAAATTCTAAAGAGAGCATCTTTTCTAGTAGGTTTTCTGACATGTACGGAAGGCTAACTGGAAAAGTTTTTTCAACTTAATCGTTAACATTAAACTCATTCGAAAGGTACTTTACGTTTTTTTAAAGGAACGGCCTTATTACTAAAACACAATGTATTCACAGATTGTAGCAGTAATGGAAAAGTTTTTTTTGGTTGTAGACAAGTTTATTTGATTTTCTAGATTTCACAGGGATAAGTGTTATTCTACTAATCAATAAATGTAATCATATGTAACAATATAAATAAAGAATTAATTCTATCACCAACACTAGTGAAAGTAATAAACCATTTCGATGGTTTTTACTTCCAAAAAATTATGTTTTGTTTTTTTCAGTTGATGCTAACACTTACAAGACTGCATCAGGAACCTCACAGTATAATTTCAGTGTTCTGGCAAAGATTGTAAAACATATGAAGGTGAGTATCAATAAACTAGAACAACTGAGGATATAGAGAGAATCCTTTTATATTCTGGTTTTCTGTTATAGTTTTTCGTCAGTAATGATACGTTTTACACATACTTTCAGGACATTCACAAAGAAAGTAAAACATGTTTTGAATATTGTGAAATTAAATTATTGATTGAAAGTTGTCAAATTGCTTTCCTGCAGACCAATTCAGTACATCAATCATTATTACTTGCTAACTTTTAAGAATGCATTTAACATATGTTGGATGTTGATAATTGATATTTTATCCTTGTACTGGCTTATTTTTCCTAAGGTGGAAAATTAATCGTTTTCTGTATTTCCACTGTAAATAACTGGTAGGGGTGGCCGGATTTGATATGATAAAACAGCAGACTCTTAATGACATGTATTACTAACTTCATCAATTCCATTACATCTACAAAGAACCATACTTGAAAATCTGTTCACAAATGTTAGGATTTTGGGTGCCTGCGCTGTTTTAAAAGAATGTATTTGTAATGATATTTTCTAATAGTCTAGGCTTTTTTTTATTTCAGGCCAACTGATGTAGATTCCATCAATTTCTCTAAGGTTAACAGAGTGTATAGAAAGTTCTTAATTAAGATTTACTATATGTTGGTTCAACAGTATCTTGTTTTGATAATGCAAGATTGGTGAAGGACAGTGCAAGTACTCAGAATGACCTTGTTTTGGATATTACAGCAACGGCACTTGGATGGTGACACAGAACCACTAACAGTTGAAGAGTTGTTGGATGAGACTAACCAGTTAGGAATTGGATCAAGACAACGTCACTGGCTTACTACAGAGGTTGTATATACTGTAGTTGTTGTATTCTACTCAAACATGGTTTTCATGAATATTGTTTGATTATGGATTAATCTCTTTGGCATATACTACCTGTTGGATTTATTTTATCATTCCGGCTCTAAATTATTACTTTGTAAATTTTTATTCATATGGAGTTCATTTTAAGTTTATAAATGCAATCAAAAACAATTTACAACTTAAGCCATTATTACAACTGCAAAATGTGAAAGGGTGATAAATCATTGTTGATGTACAATCACATAATTGTTGTTTTCACTGAATCCATCAGTAAGAAATTGTATCTTGGATAGAATAACTTTGCAAGTATTTCTTAGTAGAGTCAAAATCCTTTTATTTAACAATATATTCCAGGAATACCAACATGAACTAAGTTTAGGTTCAAATGAAAAAAAAATGTCTTGGAAAGTTAAAACTTGAATATATATCTTTCCTAAGAAATTAAATTCAAAAACATACATACCTAAAACATCCCAAGGTACTTTTTTTTTAAAACACATTCAGTTAGATCATGTGTAATGTTAAGTTCTTTTACTGGCTTTTTTTGCTTTTTAAGGAAGAGACAGAGTATGTTTTTTGTTTTGTTATGTCAGTTGATTAAGAGTCATTATTGATTGTCTTTCTAAGGATAGTATAGGTACTCTGTAGATTGCAAAAATTTGTTTGCTATTGTCTCTGCTAAAACATTTTTTAAGTAACATGTTTTACTCATGTAGATCTTTATTCAAACGTTTGAATGTGCTAGATCTATCTTCTAGCAATTGAAATGGATGATTTGTACCATTATTTGACTATTATATGCTGTAAAACCTTACTTTAATTTGAAAAAATCATCTGAGAAATGAATATATTGTAAGCTGTTTTCCATGTAATTTTAAACCACATCGTTATCAATAAAAATTAAAAGTTCTTCACACACCCAGTAGTCTTTGACTTCTACACAGAAATTTTCATAGAGTTTCAGAGTTTAAGCTTAATCAAATTTTTTTCATTATAATATTTTCCAAAATGTAGGCCCTCGTAAACAATCCCAAGATTCAGACTACTCCTGATGGTCGCTATGTATTCAAGCCTGTTTACAACATTAAAGATAGGAAGTCGTTGCTGCGACTGTTAGACAAGCATGATCAACGGGGGATTGGTGGAATACTACTGGAAGATATTCAAGAGTCATTACCTAATGCAGACAAAATCATAAAGGTACAGAATTTTTGTGAAACTTGAACTTTACTTAACTGTGGATTAGCATTATTTTTGATATTGTAGTTAGGGTTGAAACCAAGAGCATTATAATTTTATGGTTTTAGAATAATAGCTACCCCCTCCCCCTGCATTATATAAGTTGGCTAATCCGGGTATTTTAATATATTCCTCATAATTTCAAAATAACTTTCGAAGTTTTGAACAGTACCTTTTAAGACATCCCCTGTAAAAATGTATTATTGTTTATTATATTAATACTTTTAACACTTTAAACCCACAATTGTTTGCACATTCTGCTGGAATTATTTTCAAGATTTCCTAATAATTGTCACCATACCTTATAAAAAACTTCAATTTTCTTAATTTTGTGGGTAATAACATGGTTTGGATTATATTTCAACCAAAGAGACATAAATTTTATCAGACACTGTCACCATCCAATCTGGTAGCATTTGCTTGGATTTAAGGAGTTAATTAAATTTACTGGTTGAAATGTAAATGTGTGTATAAATGTTCCTAGCAGCTTATATATTCAAATCCATTTGCTTGGATTTAAGGAGTTAATTAAATTTACTGGTTGAAATGTAAATGTGTGTATAAATGTTCCTAGCAGCTTATATATTCAAATCCATTTGCTTGGATTTAAGGAGTTAATTAAATTTACTGGTTGAAATGTAAATGTGTGTATAAATGTTCCTAGCAGCTTATATATTCAAGTGGCCTACATGGAACTTAATGGTAAGAAGCAGAAAGGAAAATTATTAATAATAAAATAATCTCTGGACAGTTCATTGAGCTTAATCCACCTGTATTCATTCAAAATTAATGATTAACATAATGCTAACAACTAAAAATGTACCTACAAATGAAGGAGATTTGTTAGACTAACTAAGATTAATCATTCCCTCTCTACCTTAAATTCCATTTTAGAATATTAAATCACAGTTTAATACCAGAGACTTCTCAAAACAAGAAAACTGGTAAATGTCATAGTCCATTACTGACACCTGTGCTGAGATACATGTTATAGCAGTCGAACCAATTAGTGTAAATGGACGTTTTTTTTATATTTAGTAATATACATAAAAATCATAACAATTTTGCTGCAGACAGATTTTTAGCATTTTTTAGAGACATATCGTTTTTTCGTATTTGCAGTCTACAGCATTTCCTGCCCAGATTACTCATAGTCAAATGATCATTACACAGACTATGCATGTGAAATTGTACACAGCCACGTAACATTTGAGATCTACAATTAATCAAGATTTTTGTTGTATGAAATACCACATTTCAATTTGATTCATTTCATGTCAACATATTAAAAATGGCCAAATTCAAGTTTGCAGTAAGAGCAATTTTACTTTGATATTTTCATTTGTTGCGCTGTTATATCCATCCCACTGAGCCAAATGTAGCACATTTAGCTGAGTAAAATTGAACACTTATAAATGTTATATTGGTATTTTACTTGTGTTTTATGGACAGTTTGCTTCAATACATAATGAATTGAGAAAAAAAAAATTTCAAATATTTCTATACAAAACCTAGGTCCTGCCATGCAAATTAAAACTGTTGTTTCCATCTTTATTATACATATGATGCCATTATTAAAATTTCCTTTCTGTTGATGATTGTGACCTCTTTGAACTTCATTGGGTGGTAAGTTTGCAAGAACCACATTATGTGTGTAATTTTTCCTCCTTTATTTGTTGTGGTTTTGCTGCATATTCTGCAAATTGGATGGCAGTCTTTTATGATGTTTCTTTTTTACATCTTTAAACCAAAATGCAGCCAAACTGATGATTGTACCCTCTTATTTAGAGAAAATTGATACTTGTGTTGTATTTCAGTCATGTTAACTGTTCTTTTCAATGATTGTCAGAATTTTAGACATGTCCTTGATACAGTTGACATGAATATTCGTAATTGTTCTATATTGTATATTTGAAATATTGTTTCTTCCCTATTCTGTGAAGTCCTTTATTCCATAAATTGAGCATTAAATCATGTTATATTTGACCCTTGGATAGTGAGAGGTACAATGCCAGACACAGACAGAATTTTAGACATGTCCTTGATACAGTTGTCATGAATATTCGTAATTGTTCTATATTGTGTATTTGAAATATTGTTTCTTCCCTATTCTGTGAAGTCCTTTATTCCATAAATTGAGCATTAAATCATGTTATATTTGACCCTTGGATAGTGAGAGGTACAATGCCAGACACAGGCAACGGTTACATTGATACTCCGAAAATATGTTCTCAATGTACAGTGTTTAAAAATTTATTTTTTTAGAAAATAAGTGCTAAATTTTATGAGAGTAGACTGAGTACTTGAGTTAATCATTGATTTGATGCTGTATAAAGCCAGATTTATTTAAATAATCTGCCCCCCAGTGGCACAGCGGTATGTCTGCGGACTTACAACGTTAGAATCCGGGTTTCGATACCCATGGTGGGCAGAGCACAGATAGCCCATTGTGTAGCTTTGTGCTTAATTATAAACAAACAAGTTAAATAACCAATGTTAATGCTCTACAAAACCAGATTTACTTAAACAACCAATTTGATGGTGCTGTATGAAACAAGATTTTTTCAAATAACCACTTAACTTTACTAAGAAATATTTGAAACATGTATATACATTGTATTACTTCCACAGTTTAACTTGTAAAGCTCTTTCTCACCTCTTAAGTGTTGCTTCTTTCTCTAGAACCTTGGAGACAGTGTTATTTTTGTTATTCGCCCAAATGACAAGAAGAAGATCCTGTTCTATAATGACAAAAGCTTACAGTTTACAGTGGATGAAGGTAAGTCATAATAGCTTACATTTATAAACACAAATTATTAATAATTTTCTTTCATTCAGGTAACTACATGTTATGTAATTGCATTGAATCATGAGTATGTATATCATTATGTATTTGGTAGGCTTTAACCCCTGTTAACTCTCAGCTCGGGCTCGACCCCAGGGATCGACCTCATAACCGTTTTGTGCTTGTTATATTTTTCATGCTATAACTTTTAAATTAGTAAGCATATGTTTTCGCAATTTTGCATATTATCAGTAAACATTACAGGATTTTTTTTAATATGTTTTTAAGATTTCTTAAGTAATGTTTTTGTCATGCCTTTTTTCTTTTCAAATTTTGACTCTCCAACATACAAAGTAATTTTGATTTTAAGATAAAAAATAGTTTTCTGTATCAGAAAATTTTCAAATTTCACATGCAAAATCTTTATAACCTCCAGATAATTATCAAACGTT